TGTTTTAGTCAACTGTAACCAAAATACCTTAAATGAACAATTAGAGGGAGAAAGATTTCTTTTGGCTCATCATTTCAGGGGTCTAAGTCCACAAGTGGCCAGCTCCATTGTTCTGGGTCAGAGGTGAGGTAGAACTTCATGGTGGAAGGGTGTGCAAGAGGAAAGCAATTCAGGACATGGCCAACAGGGAGAAAGAGAGCTCTGCTCACCACGGACAAAATACACACCCCAAAGGCATGACCCCAGCGACCTACCTCCTCTAGCCACATCCTACCTGTCTATAATCACTGCCCAGTTAATCCATATCAGTGGATTAATCCACCAGTTAGGTCACACCTCTCATAACATAATATTTCACCTTGGAAAATTCTTACATTGCTTACACATGAGCTTTTGGGGTGGAACCTTACATATAAACCATAACACTATTCCCTTGCTAGGCATGTATGTCCTAGGGCAGGTTCCTGCTCTGTGCCTCAATGTTGCCATCTTTAAAATAGGATCAGTAATAGTACCAACCTCACAGAAACATTATAAGATTAAAGAAGCTACATTTCTAGAACTCAATACTGTAATATCTCAATAATAAAATCATCATGATCATCGTGATTTTTTCAACTAATTCAACTTACCATAGTTTGCTATTTTCCTCTGGTGAGATTGCTCTCATTCCTTCTCATGACTTATGAGCCTGGGTGCAGAACCCTTTACCTGTGATTGTTACTCTGCCTCTCCCAAAATCTAAAATAATATAAAGGAAGTGCTGACTGTTTTAGATCGTGGGCTCTTGGAAAATTTTGTTGACCACTCTCCATGGACTTCATGAGAGTAGATTTGAAGAAACAGCATTTCCCGAAGGTTGAAGTCCCAGGTTACATCTTCTTCCTATTCTATGTCCTTCCTCCAAGTCACTGTAACAACCCATGTCCCATGATGCTGAGGACAGAAACGGGTGGGGAGGAGTGCCAATATTTGGTTTTTGTCTTCTTGTGGTCAACGGTCAACAGGTATGATAAGCAATGTGGCTGCGGTGAAGACTGTGAGTGTTGGAGCGAGAGAGACGGCCTGGTCTGAATCCTGCCTTTGCCACTGTGTTCTTTTCCTGCCCCCCAAGACACCTCCTTTCCACGGCCCTGTGGCCTGAGATGGCTACTCCACTACTTTTTTTTCCTGTTTCTCCCCTTGTTTTGCTGGAGTCCTTCCTCCTGATGGACTCTTAGTCCTTCCTAAGACAGGAGACAAATGACATGACTTTTTACATATTTGCAGAATAACTTTCTGTTGCCCTTACAGTGTGTGTGTGTGTGTGTGTGTGTGTGTGTGCGCGCGCGCGCATGCATATACATACATACATAGAGTTTGGTTTCATCGCTGTGATAAAAATGCCTGAAAAAAACAACACAAAAAACCCTTAAAGGAGACTCACAACTCACTGATCCAGAGGTTTCAGTCCCCGGCCAGCTGGCTTCATGGTTTTTAGACCTGGAGTAAGGCTGAGACACCATGGTGAAAGGAGTGGTGGAGGAAAGCTGTTCACTTTGTGGCAGCCAGGAAGGAGAGAAAGAGTGGGTGGGTGGGGGGAAGAGACAGGGATAGGGACAAGAAATATTCTTTAAGGACACCCCCAAGTGACCTATGTCCTCCACCCCATTCCCGCCTCCTACAGTTTCCACCATCTCTCAAGAGTTTGTTCAATGATGAACCGTGAATGGATTAATGCATTGAGGAGTTTGGAGCCCTCATCATCCAGCCACTTCCCCAGCATCCAGCCACTTCCCCAGAGCCCCACTTGTAAACATGGAGCACCACGCCAACCACACATGAACCCTTGGGGACATTTCATACCTGAACCATATGTGTGTGTGCCCGCTCATGTGTACGAGGACCCACCTGCCTGTTCTGTGTGTGTAGAATTCCAAGTTGAATAATTGTCCATTGACATTGGGAAGGAATTACTCCCTTCAGAAGCAGCAGTGGTATTGTTAGGGGGACCTTCCTTGGCCTTTCTGAGCTGTTCTTTTTGGAAGTCTGATAGACACCTGACTGTTATTCCCATAAATGTGACCTGTCCCTCCCTCCTGGAAACTCTGAGCTTCTTCTCTTTCTCCCCATCGTTCTGGCGTTTTGGAATTTTGTTTCCTGATGTGTGTGAGTGAGAATGTGCACTCTAGCACATGTATTAATTGTGCTGGGAACCGGGTCGGTAAGTTGGGGAAATTTCCATAAGTTTCTCATTCTCCCTTCCATATTTTCTATTCGTATTCTTTCCTCTAACCCTGGAACTTTGTTTAATCATATGTGTGATCTCTATGTGGAACATTAATTTTCTTTTCTTTCCTATTTATACCTCTTCCCTCTCTGATTTTCTGGAAGATTTTTCTTGACTTAATCTTCCATTCTCCTTTGACTTTTAAATTGCGATGATTATAATTCCCAAGCATTCTTTCCTTCCATCTTATTGTTCACACTTTAAGAATTGCCTTGTTTTACAGATGCAGTGTCTTCGTTTGCCTCTCTGAGGATATTAGTATATATATTTTAAGTCCTCTGCTTCCTGCTGGTCCCTGATTGTCTGCTTGTCTTGTTCTTTCTCTTTCTGAAATGCTGAAGCTTTGTTGAAATACCTGGTGATCCTGTGCTGTGTCTTCATAGTTAGGAGCCGAGCACTAGATAGCTAATAAGAACCTGCCTTGTGTGCATGGGGTGGAGGGCTGTTTCCACTGGCAGGCTTCATAGTGCCATAGTCACAGAGTGAACTTGACTTTTCTTTGGGAGATCCAGAAATGTCAATCTCTTTCTCCTCCTCCTCCTCTTCTTGATTTAATCCAAGGACGCTAAACCACTGAGCCATATCCCCAACACTTTTTATTTTCTATTTCGGGACAGGGTCTTGCTTAGGGCCTCCTTAAGTTGCTGAGGCTGGCCTTAAACTTTCAATCCTCCTGCCTCAGGCTCCAGAGTTGCTGGGATTATAGGTGTACACCATTGCATCTGGCTGTGGGGATCTTCCTTGTGACTTTCTCTAGAGAAGGAATCTCTACTCTCTCTCCTGCAGTTGAGATTGGGTTGGTAGGCTGGGCTGAACATGGTTTCTGTTGTTTTGGGAGCAGGAAGATAAAGGCTCACTTCATGGTTCATCTGAGCTCTCCCTGAATTTTCTGGACTCAGTTTCTCTTTTTTATTGATTTTTAAAAATATATGACAGCAGAATGCATAACAATTCTTACTACACATACATTCACATCTCTGGTTGTATATAAAGTATATTCACACCAATTCGTGTCTTCATACAGGGTACTTTGGATAATGATGACCATCACATTCCACCATCACGATGGTGGATTCAGTTTCTTTAGGAATAAATTCCAGCCTTCTTGACTTTCCTATCCCTTTAAGAACAGAGCTTGCCCAGCACAAGTGACTTCCTATCAGGTTTGCCCCTGTAGTTCCATGAGTGGTACCTTTCTCTAAGTCCCTGTCCTTTGACTTTTCATCTTCTGCAGTTGTGATATATCATATTTCCTTTCACCTTGTCTCCTCTCTTCCTCTTTCTCTTTGTGAACAAATATTTATTTTATTCCTTTGTATTTTAATGGCGAGGACCAGTGCTTAGTTTTCCCCCTCTCTCACTGGAAGTCACTGTGAAGTTTTTCGCAAAGTTTCCCCAGTGCTTTCAGGCACTGGCTTCTTTTCGCGAGGCGAGTGGTTATCGCGATGAGTGGGCAGCCACTTTTTCACATGGTCTCATTGCTACTTTTTCACATGGTCTCCCAACACGGTCGGCCATTTGTCATGGATTGGAATAAGCCTGTCTGTGCTGACGGAGTGGAATTCAGGGTCTCGGTTTGCATTTACCAGTCTTCCATTTAGTTCTGCCTCATTGGCGCTTCACCTCGCTGTTTGATGGGAAATATTCTCTCCATAAACTTCAGTAAGATGTAATGGATTTCTGCAGTGGAAATATTGTTCAAGCCGCAAAACCAAATCACAGCAGGCACTTTGTCTAGGGACCCGGCATCTAGCAAAGCAGCCATTTAAAACGCCAGTCGTATGAAGCCACAAACAGTCACAGCTAATTCCCTTTACAGGAGTTTTATTTGTATGTATGGGAAAAATCACACCACAAAAAAGAATCATTGTTCTGCTACGACTGCAGTGTTAATTATCTTTGTCAACTTGCGCTTGTAAGTGAACCTTATTCACTGGGTTTCTTCTTTGGGCTACAAAATGGCAGAGCTAGGATGGGTGGGGATGCACAGGATGTTCTTTGAAGCCATTGGGGCAGTATGAATCTGTTAAGAGGGGGATAGCTGAGCCAGCCACCAGGAGGCTAATAGCAGCAGAGCCTTGTGACTGTCATGAGTGAAACCTGACTCAGGTTAGACCCAGGTCTATACTGGTCTCTACCTGTGAATGAGGGAGGGTTATGGCAGAGAACGGGGAGACCCGTTCCACTCCTCTGGGATTGCACCCCTTAATCAGAGGTTCTCAAACCTTGCTGTGCTTGGGACTTACCTGGAACGCTTTTGCAATCTTGATGCCAGGTGGCATCCCCAGACCAACTGAATCACATCTTTTGGGGGTGGAACCCAGTGTTGTTAGTTTCTAAAGCTCCCAAGTAAAGGAGGGGCAGGGTACAAACTACTGCTACATCATTTTTTTTTTTAAATCCTGTTATTGCTACATAAGAAGCTGATTTTAAACTTGTATTATTTTGAACTAATTTGGATTTGGGAAGAAGTGAAGATAATTTATATCACAGTCATTTTGATATTTATTTTGCAGCTATTTCCATGGTTAATGGATGGCTAATTCCTAAGAGAATTTGGGTAGGATTCTCTCAATTCAGAATTCAGCACATTTGGAGGAAGTGTACCCTCCTAAAGGACTTTGCTCTTACGGAGACTGTAGTGGGAGAAATACTGAGGGCTTGGTGGGCAGGGCTAAGAATGACTGGGTGTGACCTCACCAGGCTGCCATGTCTCTTGTGGTGTGTGCAGGTCCTGTGGCTGTCATCAGTGGTGAAGAGGACTCCGCCAGCCCATTGCACCACATCAACCATGGCATCACCACACCCTCATCGCTGGACGCCGGGCCCGACACGGTTGTCATCGGCATGACCCGCATTCCAGTCATTGAGAATCCTCAGTACTTCCGTCAGGGACATAACTGCCACAAGCCAGACACGTGTAAGTACGGAAATAGAATTCTGTCCCTTCTTGGGTGGGAAGGGCAGTGTGGCAACAGACCATGTAGTGGGGTTCTGGAACCTTCTGGGATGACCTGCCACCTGCCAATGTCCCCCAAACAGACCCTCCCTATTTGTCTCAAAACTTGAAAGATAGCCATTGGGCAGATTCCCTGGGGAAGGGAGGGCTGTCGGGCTGAATCTGGTTCCCACTTTTCTTCACCTGGCTAGGGAGAGGTGTTCCCAGTAAGGCGCAGACACAAATAAGGCTGGTCTCCTCTGTAGACCTGGCTTGTATAATTAGAGCACAAAACCTGACTGTCCACATAACAGCCCCCGAGGTCATTAGGGCCTCCACCTGGGCCTCCCCTAGAGGGGAAGGGAATGAAGGGCGGTGAGTACCTAGCTGCCCCTCCAGTGCTCCGAATGCTCACTCTCTGAGACCTGGAGCACAGCAACCCTCACCTCCCCATCGCAGACCAGAGGACTTAGGCCACCTGCTTCCTCCTCATCTCTGACCTCCTGTTCATTCCAGCCCCTTTCTTTACATTTCTCCTCAGCCCTGCTAGGTTCCCCTTAACCCCTTAGAGCTGCAGTGTCTTATCCCTCCACCCAGCAGTGTTCCCTTTGCTGGGTCTCCATGTCCAACCTGGCTCCAGCAGCAACACCAATGCACACCCCTTCCCTTCCACTGCTCCTGTCCCCGGAAACAATCCACTGCTTCAAGAGAGCAGGCAGAGGCCCCTGGACAGCACAGACACCAGTGACTACGTGAGAGCGGGAAGGGACCCAAGTGATCAGCTAGGTTTAGGCCTTACCTTGTGGACAGGAATTCGGAAGGTCTAGGAGGCTGTGAGATCCTGGTTCCTGCCCCAGGCTGCCTGCAGTGAGCTCTCTTGTCAGTCAGTCCCAGGGTAGGCCTAGGAAGAGGTGAATTCTGCTTTTGCTCATCCTCTGGGCTGAGCTCTCTGCATCTGGGCCACACTCTGAACTCACAGGGCCCTTGCTGCTCCTGCTGGGTCTTCCCTGTACCAGCCTGGACATTTGGAAACCTCATCAGCCTTCGCTTCCATTTCTCTAGCTCTGATTTTTCGTAAGAGGGTCTCCACCATGGGAGAGACTAGGCTTGAGTCAACATAAGGTCATCATTTGCCTCCCAACATTGAGCATCCTCCACAGTCTGCCTCAGAGTTTATCAAAGGCTCCCTGTCTGTGTCGGAGGAAGGATAGCTGGTGTCTGGGTTAAGCAAGGAAGAAAGATACCTGTATTTCAGATAAGCAGTGGGAAACAGTGCAAAGAATGGTTCCTTTGGCTAAAGCTCTTGTCTCAGATCAGACTTATTCCTGGCCTGGCCTGGGAGTGGCCATCCTGTGATGGTAGCGTGGTCCTAGCTCCTCCTAGGGCAGATACTGAGTTTTCTAGGATGCTACTGATATTTGAACAGAGACTTAGCTGTTGCTCTGTTGAGTATATATAGTTGATTCTCATTATTTGAGGTAGTTCTTTTCTGTAAAGTCACTGCAAACAGTGAATCAGAGAACACTGAACCATTTTTCCTAGGGGAGATACAGTATGAGGATCCTGTGAGCCTCTGGTCACGTTTTATCAGCCAGTTAATCCATAACCTTGCTGTAGTGTGTTGTATGTGTGTTTCCATTTAAAGAGGCCTTATTTAAGATGCTTTGTGGACTCATTAACATTGAACTCAATGGCCAACAGCTATAACTCATGACTGTTCAAAACTTACCTATTCCTCTGTGAGACTCATCCTGTGTTTAGGAATACAAGACAGTATAGAACCATGCTTGGCAGCCATCTTAAAGAACAAAATTAACAAACAAAAAAACCCCAAAATGTAAAAAAAAAGAAAATGTGGCTTGGAAGAGACCACAAAAAAGATACTTGTTTATAACATGAAAACTGAAATAAGAATTTCAAAACAATGTGTCATAAGTGATAAATATGTATAATGTTTATTTGCCAATTTAAATACATAATTTTTTTAGAAGGAAGGCAGAATGTGGCCTTGGTCAGCCTCAGCTGGAAATGTGCCCAGAGCATAACTCAAATTTTTTGCCACTTTGGGCATGACCCACGTGAAAGCATCTGAAATACTGGTTTTAGGATTGCAAATAAACTTTAAAGAGCAGAGGAATCTGTGAATAATGAGGATCACCTGCGTTCCCATTAGTGAAATCTCTGGGTTTCCAGTTCAGAATACGATCGCAGCATCATCTCTGCTCACCGCTGCTCCTGAGTTCAGGTTATTGGCAACATTTCCGGATGGGAGGAATCTGGCACATTTTAGAGAAGTTCCCTTTGGACCATCAGAGTTATTGTCCCTGTTGGAACTTGGGAGCCATAGAGAGAGCTGTGGGATCTGGTGAGAGTCCTGTGATGTCAGGACACAGTACTTAGCCAAGGAGCCACAGTACCAGGAAAACCTGGAAGAGCCTTCTGCCTAGAGCTCTCTGGGTGTGTGCTTTACGGTGGCCTTTGGAGGGATCTGGACATCCTTCTGTGTAAGCAGGAAGAGGTCAGTGAAAATGCAGGAGAAACAGGTTTATTGATGGAGATTTGAAAGACGGGGGGAACAGACAGCGTCTTGCGATGACTCCAGAGTGTCAAAGCCTTCTGCGATGAGGGAAGTACCTTTTGAGGGCAGCGATGCATCTAGCCCTATCAGTAGACAGCGGACGGCTCTAATTGTTTTCCACATAGCACGTGGGGCATGATGAACACTGTGCAGGAGCGTTGCAAATGTGTGTGGCCAATCCTCCCTCTGCTAATCCACGGTGACTTACGCAGACGGGGACAGGGAGCGCCCTGGCCAGCCCTCAGCGGAGATTCACTGGCTCAGATGCAGCTGGACTCTGATTATCGAGGCTTCACCGATTGAGGGAACTGACTCCGAGACACATCCCTGTGTGTGATGAGACACTGCCATCAATAATTAAAGCCACATGTGCCTTGGCACATAAAATGAGCAGGGAATGTCTGCAGTGGTGCAGACAAAGCTGGGGTCACTCCTTGGGAGGATGGCAAGACTTGAGGTATTAAGAGGAAAATGCTCACATTGTGGATCCCTGGGCTCTCCTGATCTGAGTCCCCTTGTAAAATGCATAGTATGGGGAGGAACTGTGGGAACTTGGTGCTCACTGACTTCAGGCTTCGTTTCTCCCGTTTCCTCAGCTCTGGATTGAGCACAAAGCAGCTTTCTGTCTGCACTTGTGTGTTTATCATGAATGGTGAGCTGTGATTAGGAGGCGGGTCCTCTTCATGCTCCTCACTTTCTATCTATCTTCCATCTGGTCCATGACACTTGCCATTACATGTCAGGCTGTAAGGATGTTTGGAGATCACCTGGTACAATCCTTTATCAGATGCTTGCGTCCCCCGCCTGTGTTCCCAACAATGGCTCTGCATTTGGCATTGTCTTTATTCTGAAATTATTCAGCCTTTCCAGGAATTCAGAATGAAGATGCACCTACTTGACTATGTGTGCCCACGTATAAACCAAATAAGGCCACCCTCATTATTTATGTAAAGCTTCCTGGTTCTCAAATGCATCAGGGAATAGACACAGCCTTCCTTCCCGCCCAGCTGAGGGTCCTGGTCTTTGGGCTGAGTCCTACAGAATGGCACACCGAGGGACCTGTCCAGATGGACCACTGGGGAGAAGGGAGAAGGTATGTTCCCTTGGTTGCCTTGGTCAGCCTGGTGACAGTTCTGGGCTGCAGAACAGTTGTTCGTGGCTATAAGGCCGGCTGCCATCTTAGAAATTGTGCTTTTGTTCTTCCCCATAGGGTGGATGGAGGGTGTCTTGGATTTCTAAAAGGCTGTCCCTAGGTACCCATTCTCTTGATTGAGAAAGCTGAGGCCATCGAGGGGAGGTAACCCGTGTCTCCCTTCCCTCCCTCCTTTCTTCTGTCTTCAGGTGAGGACATCTACCTTTGTTCACTGTACCTCCACTTTCAAAGGGACAGCTCCCCATCCTGGTCCTCCCACTTCTTGTCTTCCCTCCCCCTGAGGTTGGGTCTGTTGGCTCCTTCTGCTCACTGTAAACCTCTGAGGCTCCCTGACCTGCAGATCCTCCCCGAGTTCTGCTCCCCTGGAAGCCTTCCACTCTCTATGTTGCTCTCTTTGCAGAACTGGACCACGTTCCTTTGAGGTTTTCATCCTTGGTAGCAATGGGTCACTTAGGCCATGCTGACTTTTCTTTCTTTCATATTTTTAAAAACATATTTGTTTTTTATTTGTAGTTGGGCACAATACCTTTATTTTATTTATTTATTTTTATGTGGTGCTGAGAATCGAACCCAGGGCCTCGCACGTGCTAGATGAGCGCTCTGCTGCTGAGCCACAACCCCAGCCCTTGACTTTTCTTCTTTCATCTATTCAATCCATGTTGAGGATTCGTATTGGACCTTCTTCTGGGCTCTGAAAACAATGGGGAACAAGGACCCTCATAGCCAACAGAGCTGCTCCTCAAAATGGGGACAGTACCCCCTTGCACCCTTGGAACCCTTCTCAAGGTCTTGTGCATTTATCTTTCAACTGTCCACTGCTGCCTCTTCCCAGATCCCCATCCCACACCCCCAGCTACTATCATAGTGTGATCTCTGCTTTCAAGTGACATCCTGTCTTCCACACCACATCCCCACTCCCGTTTCTTCCTTTCTACACCCTATTCATCCTTTAAAACCTGCCTCATTTCCAGCCTCTTGGGATCCTTCATAGCCCATCCCCACATGCCTTTTCCTTCCTTCTTTCTAACCCATGGCTTACAGTCAGTGCCATGTATAGTCAGGAGTGACTTTTAACCAGATCCTAGGTCACTCTGCCAGTTCTCAAATATGTGTGACCTATTTCCCAAATCTGATTTGGTATTTATTCCTAGAAGTAGCCGTTATGTATCATAATTCTTTATTTTCTGTTTCTACAGAAAATACAGCATGGGATTGGGATTAAAGAAGAGGCTAACTAACGGGGTCAGATGA